TGTCCCCCGTTGGACATAAACCAGGCTGTTGTATGAGAATCCAGCTAATGAACTGCCATGACTTTATTTTTTTTAACCAGTGGAATCTAGTTAGCATCCAGGCTCAAATGCCAAAGTCATTAGGCACATTCCTGAGGTGAAAAACTATTCCGAATCTGGGAAACAGGGTTTGACTGCCTGCCTGACCTCCTTCCTGCCCAGGAAATTTAAACCCACTTTCCCCCAAAACAGGTTTCCAAGATACAGCTGAACTCCTTGGCAAACTGACAGATATGAGCAACAGGCACACAGTGACACATAGCAGCATTACTGAACATCTGTAAGCATGCCATTAATTTTACACAGAAGGAAGAAGCTCAGAAGAGCACTGGCCAGAGGAAAACAAAGAGTTTTCCAAACACAGAGCTCTTCTTGCACTCTTGCCTTTGCACTGACTGCCCTGACAGAGGGGAATGATTCTTCATATTGACAAAAGCAGGATTCTCCATGAGGCATTAAACTCCTGTGGCAAGGAGATGTTCCTCTAACAAAGTTAATAAAAATGGCTGAAGAAAGCAAATCAGTCAGTTTCTCTCCCTTTATAGATTTCTGTTTCAAATCGTCCTTCTTCAGGGACTGTGGAGACCTGCCAGCTAATTTTGTGGACAGGATGGTTTCTAGGCTTGTCTCTGATCTCTAGATGATGTTATTATTTCTTCATAATTGTTTACTGTATAAAATCAACATCCTTCTCTCCAGAGGAAGATTGCTCAGAGTTACTCATGAGAGCCTTTCAGCTCACAGTTGTGGGCCTGCTGTCGTCTTGACAACACACTCATGTCAAGGTTACTGTCATGTCAAGGCACTGTTAGTACCTCCTTTCCTTGAGCAGTTATTCTTTCAACTGTAAGGATATTAATGCAATTTAAAGTTTCTTGGTCAACCTTTAGGATTATTCCAATTACACGGACAGAAGTTTCAAGGATTCTGAGAGTACTGTGGGAGTAATTGTAATTGTGCAGAAAAAACCCTAGATTTTGGTTTGTGCTCTGAAAGCACAGGACTGAAAGCAACCACCTCCACATTCCAACCCGGCTGAGAGAGGGACTCTGCCCATGATCTCTGTTGTGTCACCTGAGCTTCCTCTTGGAACCTTCCCATTGCATCCCCATCTGTAAAAGTGAGATAATGTTTTTTATTAAGTTCATGGGGATTTTATAATTCAATGTTCATGAAGAGAACAGAACTGCAAGCCTTTCTGTGTTACTGCTAAGTGCAAAACTTCCCTAAATCTTGGAGAACAGAGTCCCAACACAGAACCCTCAGACCACATTGAGAGAGGAGACATAGCTTTTTTTGTTTTACTATAAAGTGGATAATTTAAGAATATTCTTGCTCACAGTCTTGAAATCATCCTTTATGTGTCCCTGGGCAGAGCTGGAGACAGCAAGGTTTGTGTGTCAACAGCTGTTATGTTAACTGGTTCAGTAAGACCAAGGGCAGGAAAGCACCTGCCTGTGTCGGTGCCCTGGGCAAGACGTTCCTCTCTCTGTTATTCTAATGCCAGTCAGGCTTATGTAATTGCTTAAAAAATAAATCTCTATTGCTTGTCTTGCATGTATGATCTTATAAGTGCACATCTACCAAACTGCTTAGGGTCTGACTTGGACTCGGTCAGATTTATCCTTACGCAGTCTCCCTCCCCCAGGGCCTCTGCCAGCCACTGAGATCCCCATATTCAAAAGCACCCAAACCCTATATTCCTCTTGAAAAATATGTGGATGCTTTAATTGTCTTCCTGGGTTTCTATGACAACCACAGGAACATAAACAGCCTTGCTGGCAGCCACAGGAGACTGAAATCTCTGCTCTCTTCCCTCCCTTCCCAAAAACTTCTCAACATTCAGAACTTACCGTAACCAAATAAATACGATTAACAATAAACACAGAGGTGGTGTTGAGTACACCTGTCTGGCACTAGGGAAACATCTTGCAAATAAAAGTACATTACAGTATTTTATGATAACAGTCAAAACATTGCCTGCTATATCTGAAGTGCCTTGGGACCAACTGAAAAACAGTGCAAAGCTATAAATTTATAAATGGGAGCTTTCTATGTAAGCTTGCATGGCTGCAGAGAGCTTTAAAAATATATAACAAGGTCTTCTGTTTGTTGGTGCCTCTGAGCACCACTCACCTTGCTCACAGGTTACATATCAGGAATAGATAAGCCCCTGAGCAAGCGTCATGACAGTCAAGGTTCAGATAGCTGCAGAGCTGTGTGGGTGCACACACATCGTATGGTGCGACTGCAGGCACCTCTCCATGGCTGCAGCTCCCAGCCTTCCAGCAGGAAAATCATAAACAAAATGTGATCACAGCAGCAGAAATGCCCTGCACAGCACTGTCAGCCTGAGTCCAGGAGAAGCTGTTTCTCTGAACTCCCACATCAGGCAGCATAGTGAGAGCTGCTGCTTCTGACAATGCTCAGACATCTGAGGTCCAAAAAACTGCTCAGGTCTTTCTTCTCTCCTGAGCATCATTAACGGCAAAATAAATTTGCCATAAGAGACCAGCATAACTCTGGAGGTTTTAAGCCATTTAAACTCATCCATCTAATACTGAATGGCCTGAAGCCATCAGAACACACAGGACTTACAAAGACGTTGCATGTAATAGTTATGGTTATCAGCTGTCCACAGGTCACAAAATCATCTTTCAAGTTATGGAACCACTTTCTGATCGTAAAAATGCCATGTATTTTTAAAATAACTGCCCCTGTATGTCTAGTTTGTGACAAAGTAACTTTGTGAAAGGAAGGGCTGCCATTTCCTTCACCAGTGCTTTTAGTTTGTCTCAGGCACTTGTTCTCCCTATGCTGCCAGAGAAATCCAGGTGACTCCAGTTGCTCTGAGACACGACTGGGGATGTAACTATGCTGTTTTCCCTGCAGCAATCTCCTTCCTTGGCAGGGAAATCCTATGGCTCTGTGTGACTGATTTTTCTTTAAAGCAGACAGAGGATTTGAGGAAATGGAGCTGGGGGGTGGTGTGTGAATGTGAACCCTTGGAAATAAAAAGCTATGGCGATTCCTTCCGGGCTAGTATGCAGAAATACATGTGTCTGTGAGGATGAGCAGGAGAAGGAGTTGAGGAGGCAAAATGCTTCTCTCTTTCACAGGGTTTGGAAGGCACAGAAGGAGCCACCTGAGATAGAAATTAATTAAACAAAAACTAGAAAGGGGGATGAATATTTGAAAAAAGAAATCTGGATATTTTATTGGTTTTCTATCTTAAGGCAGGAGTTTCCCGCCAGTGACAACCAATATAACAAATTTAAAATTGTTTCATTTTCTCTTGTAAGATTTTAAGCAGTGTCCTCATGCTACAAAATTCTTGCACAAAATGGAAATATTGCATTTTGCAATATGGAAAGGAAATATTTCTTCTTTCTTACCTAGTTTACCTCAATAGGCTGTCTAGCAAAGAGTGCTATGGGAGAGTGAATCGTGAATATGAAAGGACTGCTGATCCCCACATTTTCTACGTAATACAGTAAGAATGCCTAATTAAATAAAGTTTGATTTTATCTATCAACTATTCATAACAAGTTTTTGTTTTCATGTATGTCTTCCTGCGTGCTAGTATGACTTGGCCAATTACAAACACGTTACTTCAAACTACAGCATATAGGAAATGAATGTTTACTTGGAATACAAAGAGACATCTGTTACCTTACAAATATGAGAGTCTAAGTGCTGCAGAGTATATTTGGATATCAGGCAGTATGCAAGGTATGTTGCATAATGCACCCTTGAAATTAGTCACAGAACAAATAAGTTGGATGAGATTTTGTAGTATTCATTGTTATTTATTAACTGTAATAGCCCCGAAATGATCACAGTACTTTTAAATTAGGATGACAAAAAACGTAAGCTTCTCTTTTCTGCATCTGGAATGAATTAATAAGCATAAGATTTTAATAGTACTGAAATCAAAAGGAGGGCAATTTTAGAGTAATTTTAAATTAATGATTCTACAATTAGTAGGTATTTTCATACCTTTCAACCTTTGTCCAATATGACTCACTGCCACTAAGGCCCTTGGGTTTAACTCCTGAGAAATACATATGAAAGTTAAAAAAATTATAAAAAAACCAAAACCCAAACCACCAGACAAACCTTTGCCTATTTCCCAAGTATGTTCATGGTGTGTGGGTGACTGAGATGAATTATGGGGAGGTAGTTTTATCAGAACTAATTATCTAATTCCTTTGTGGCTCTGAACCATTCTAAACTCTAATCCAAGCCCTAACCATTATTAAAGTATTCATAAAGCCTTTACAAGACAGTGTTCCAACTCATAAAGCCATTCCTTAAGAATAGTCAGTACTTCAGAAAACTTGAAGATTCCTGTGACTTCAAAGGGAATCTTTGTGCTGCTTAAGAAAGAGGTGTGATGTATTTTGCAGTTGCATTTTGACTTACCTATGAATGCCCATGTTTTTACAGCCCAAGTGTAACATATGGCATGACAATGCTTTTAAACACAGAAACACAGAAATCTGTGGCCAAAACCCATGCTTCTGACAATTTGAACTTTTCAGATTTTGATCATTTTAGTTTATTCAGCTGAGCTGATTGGTTTCTTTAGTAGGCCAAGATTAAAAGTGTGGTTTAATTAAAGCATTTAAAAAGAAGATTAATTCAGAGGGTTTCAAGTATGTAACTAGTGAATATGCTACCTCAAAGGAATGAAAACATTAAGGAAAGGTGATTTACCTAATTGTTAGTGTACATATTCCTAAGTGACAGACTACACCAAACTGGCTGCACATATCAGGGTCAAGGCTTTTATTTAGAACAGTTAGAAAGTAATCACCCATTTTTGACAATGTCAAACTATTTTTTTCTTTCAGAACATCCTAAGAGTAATTTTTTATGTAAAAGCAAAGTTGTCATCAATAGCATAAAATGCACTCTCCGAAGAGCACAAGACCAAAAAATCTTGAAACGTGACATACCTGCCCCAAGCTGCTTTCATTGTAGAATCTTTATCAACAGGAATGCATGAGGACTCAACAACACTTGATTTATTCAATTTGTAGCAGAGACCACAGTCTGGATCTAACATACATCCATTACAATAACTGAAAGAGAAAGAAATAAATACTTAAACAACACTTCGTTCATTTGCACATGTCAAAAACAACAGCATCTCCTAGTCAGTCTTGTAATGCAGGTAGTTCAGTTGTCAGTGTTGAAGACAAGACAACAGAACTTCTCAAAAAACCATCACATATTGCTTTCACCTTCTTCTGTGACGCATTTGGTGGTCCAATTGCAAATGTCCCTCGTCCCTGATGAGGGTCTAGGATAATTCACTCACAGAATGAACTTTAATTAAAAAAAGACAGATTGGGGTTGCAGAAGAAGAATCATCATAGAATGGTTGTGTTGGAAGTGACCTTAAAGATCATCTAGTTCCAACTCCACTGCCACTAGACCACGTTGTTCAGAGTCCTATCCAGCCTGGTCTTGAACACTTCCAGGGGTGGGGCACCCACAACTTCTCTGGGCAACCTGCTCCAGGGACTCACCACCCTCACAGTGATGAATGTCTTCCTAATGTCTAATCTAAACCTGCACTGCTTCAATTTGAAGACATTCTCCCTTGTCCTATCATACACGATACCTAAAAACCAAACTAGAATTTGGGCATGTACAGATATGAGAGTCAGTCTGAGATCACAATACCATGTGTGTCCATGTGGGAACTCAGCACTCGAGTTCCCGTAACATTTGGTGGAAGGAGTCAATATGTCAATGGAGCCAATTCACACACAGGCATCTGGTGCCCAAAAATATCCCAACTGCCCTTTACCTGTGAGTGTACTCTGCAAGAGTGTACAGTGCTCTTGCAGATCATTTCTGTGCATTGCACTTGCCAGTTCTGTGCAGATGTCACTGATTTCCTTGGGAGTCTCAAAGAGTATGAGATGCCAACATTTAGGCAAAGTTTCCTCAATGCAGTCTTGTAAACTGTTCAAGTGACTAGAAGCAAAACTGTTGTCTAGATACCACTGGTTGCACTGACCACATCTCCATTGCCTCTACTGGGAGCCTGGACACCAAGGGCTCTACAGATATTTCCCTTAGATGTCAGTCTGAAACCTGTCCCTGAGATCAAACTGAGTGGGATGCGTGTGAGTTACAACAGCATTCCAAAGCTCTCCATGCAGTACAAGTTATCTGAAAGTTTCTAGCACAAGTCTCACCAGGTCTTGCAAACACTCACTCATTGCTCCTGTGATTAAACTATGCAGGTATTTATCTTCCTTGGAAGCCATCTCAGATTCAGACACACATTTTCATCTGTAAAGCCCCTGATATATTCTAAAGCAGAACTTTAGGAGTTAAAAAACAGGAGAATGAGCAACTGTAAAACATAGAATAAGTGTAGAAATCTGAAAATTAAAATTTAAATATAACATCTGGAAATGTATAATTACAGTGACCAAAATGGCTTCAACATATACTCCTGTAATAACAAAATCAAGGAAATAATCTTTTCGGAGTGTGTATCTTTATCACAACAATGACTTTGTGAATGAAGAAATAATCTGCCTAATCTACTATACCATTATGAGATAAAGTAAAAGTAACTGCATAACAAAGTCTCAAGAAACTAAAACAGTAAAGCAGATTATATGGATTTAAAAAGTCTGAAAGTACATGCTTAAAATCTAGTCATTCAAATTCTTTTTACTATGATGTTTCTAAAAGAATTACAAGAAGTTCAATTCGTATGGTAAGTGGCAAAAAGAAAGGGCTAGGACTGTGTTAAAAAAGTGTATTCATTTGTATTTTCCTACTTCTCCAAGTTTCAGAAACTTGTGCTCTTTGCTATTGTGTTCTTTCTAAATTATGAAATTACAGCAGAAATTCTAAATGTTGTCTACATTTAGAATATATATCTACTTTAAATATACCTTCCTCTTGCTTAATTGACACGTCAAATTCAGGTTTGAACAGCTTTTTTTTTTTTTAATTAGGAAAGCTGCATTATATCAGCTCTTAACTGAGATACTAACTGTAGAAAATATTTTTACAATGGAGATGAAACAAAACTTTCAGATAAGTCAATCATATTATCTAACTGTAGTAAACATTTCTTCTCTTGCAAAGATAAATGAGAAAATTGTAATTCTGCAATTATCAATTTTCAAAGGGAAGGACAATACCCATATTACAGTAGCAAGACTTAGTGAGACTTTTGTTACATTGATATTAGCAGAGTAATGGGCAGTAACCAAGAGTTGACAGGAAGAGAAGACAGCAGGTGAATAAAAACATTTTTATAAATCACAAATGTATTCAAGCATGCAATAACAATACTAAAAAAATGTATAAAACTATAATATTTTCACATAGTGATAAGAATCTCATGATATCAAACAGGATCTTGATATATGATTTTCAAATGTAGAATATCATCTACTCAAATGATGTTATCAAAGTACCTCTTAACAACCTGAATTTATAAAAAGCAGGGTGCCAGCACATCAAGCACGGTGTCCTGGCATAGAAAGCAGTCATTTCCAAATACTACATGCTATCAAGTGAAGAATTGGATTTTTAAGTCAACTGTATGCAAATTATATTAAGTGTGAATGCCATGTGCAGAATTTAACAGATTAAAGTGGCCTTTAAGCAATAACTCTCTTCAGAATATTTCAGGATTCAAGGTTTCTCTAGATTTATTCTTTTTAGGTTTTACATTAAGCAGCCAAATACCAGAAACCAGCCAGAACATCAGTAAGACACAGGAATGCAGAGACTGACAATGAGACACAGCGATGATTGTCATCTTTATGGTGCTGCCAGCAGAGGACAGGATGGGGACTGGATACCTCAGTATTTTTTCCTCAGCGTCCTCAACAGAATCAATGCAGAGATGAAGCACAGAGCTGAGCTGTGCTCTGTCTGTTCTGTCCTGCTGGGCTCACTCTATGGATAATGCAACGTAACCTCATTTGGCACTAGGCATCAGTAATCAGACAAGTAGGAAGCAGAATATATCTTATTTATTTCTCCCTCCCATCCAGAAAAAAAAAAAAAATCAAGAGATTTGATTATTGATTCCAGTGTCTATATGGCTGTTACTTCAGCTGATCCTCCAGCTTTATTGGATATCATAGAATAATTTAGGTTGGAAAGGACCTTTAACATCATAAATCTAACTGGTCTTCCTTTTGGCATTCGACATAATAAGGGATGCTGGATTTCATGTCATGCCAAATGTCAGAGGTTACAGTTTCTCATAAGAATTTAAATAATCTAAAATTATTATTTTCCACAGCTTTTCCAAAGTTTGTCTTGATTGAACAGTTAAATAACTATTTACAAGCCTTTACTTTAGGATTTCTCATAATTAACTATACAGTGAGTTCATACAATCAGGCTTTGACTTTAGGTTTTAGAGACAAGCCAATTTATGTCAGAGGAAATACAGAAATTCAATATACAAGACTTAAAGCCCTTTCAAATCTAACTCCCAGCAGACTTAGGGTAGGCTGTTCAAAACATTTAACATTCTTCTGTGCACTGTTTTATCACTGACACAAAATTTTATGCTGTCTTTGATAAGATGAAGACCAATGTTTTTTCCTCCCAAATCCCAAAATATACACAGTACAACTGTTTCATAACACAGTAAGGAAATCTGTGTCAGTTCATAAAGTCTAATGATCACAGAAGATGCAGCATGAAATAAGCGAAGAAGACTTTTTTTTGAAGAAGCAATAAAAAAAACAACCAAAGACATCTTGTGCTGAGGCTGTTTATTCTAGAAATAAAATATATAGTAGTTTCAGGCTTATGTCCTTCTTCACTCCAGCCCCATTGCTGTTTGCTAAACAAAACTATTTAACCAATTTGAAATCGAGCACATATTCTGACATACCTGCTCATAGTAATGTAAATAATATAGGACATAGAATATATCAGGAAAAGAAATGCACAACATAAAACTCACTACAGAGCTCCTTTCTGTCCTCAAATGTACCTTCTTATCGACCCTACCCATATATATCCAAATATATGCCAGAGGATAAATCTACAAAAATACTGATAATTCTTCAAATCTACACCACAGATCAGTTATGGTCTCGAAAGTTCTATACAAGAATACTCCAGGATGTCTAGGTAGGAAAGGAAATTTTTGCATCCAATTATAAATGGGAGATATGTTTCCTTTACTTTATCATGAAATATTTATATTTGTGCTAAGTTTATGAGCCAGTGTCTTGAAAACAGGTTCACCTGTGAAGATTCAGTTGAAAATTCCCAGGCAGGATGGTTCTCTACCAGACTGACAATTCAATATTGAATTACCTGAGAGAGATTATTTGATTTTGATGAAACCAGGCAGCATTACAGCAGAAAGGTTTTACAACGTGCTTGTTTCCTTCCCTGCTTACCAGCTGGGCTCCTAGGCAACCCAACATGAAGGCAAGTGTCTAGACTTCAGATGCTTCAGCCTGTGTAGCAGAATAACAACAACCAGGAATGTGAGGCTCCAGAAGTTCAAAGACACCCAGCTTCTTTGCATATCAGTGTGGCATGAACTCAACAGAACAAAAGTCTCAGCAGCTTGACCTTTCAGTTTATGGGGAACTGCCATGGAATGGGATTTCTGGGTTCCTGCTTCATCATCACAGCATGTTTAACTGAAAAGCTGATGGACTACTAAAATATATATCCCCAAATCTGCCATTCCTCCCTCTGATTCTGCCAACAGTTAACATGTTCTCTTTATCTGACCAAACAGGAATAACTGACATCTAGAAAGGCAGACAGCACTAACTTTGAGGTCCCTCAGTAGCAATTTCTTGCCAGCCTGAGCATCAGCAGCTTTCAGAATACTCTGCTCTGGAGCAGCCTGCCTGATTAACTGTTCCTTAGGTTACAGGTTGATCACAAAGTTCACAGCACCATCCTCTTTCACAGAGATCTTACAGTGTGGGGATGAATTATTAATTGACTAGATGTGTACATTTTTCTTGATACCAAAATTACTATTTTCTTTCTTCCTAACAATGTAGTTTATGAGCCTCTAGTATAGTCTCTAAAAATACTGAATAAAATC